CACTTATCCTTACTAGAAAGAGATAGGTATTCACTTGCATTAGGCCCTTAAAGTGCCCGATAAAGTATAAAATGCGCATGCGTCCAGGTGTTGATAAACTATAAATAGCGAAAATCCAGGGTTTGTCACCACAAGGTAAGCCAGGACGTGTTGAGAGAACAGCTAGTGCTGATATTGAATTTATATGTAGCCAGATAAGTTTCCTTATTGAAATTACATATGGTTATTAGCAATACTTTGTAGGTGCTAAATAATAAAATATTTAGAGTATATATGAGAGAAATTGGTCATTTCGAACATGTTGAAAAGTTTGTGGCTCTCGGCTACACCGGGGAATTTACTTCCATGAGTACACACATAAATGTGGGGTTCCCCAAGAGGTACGCGACAAGGTGACCTGGCATCAAATGTGCGACTAAATGCTACTATCGAGAAGATAAAATAACGAATACGACAATAAGTTATTGCATGTGACAATTCCGAGCCTTCATCTCACTGAAGTATTTTGAAGTGAAAATAGGATTTTTGTTTTGATACATGGATTCAGATGAACGTAACTTTATTCTGACAACTAATAATCAAAACTGAACAAAATTGATTGTACGTAACAGACAATTTATTGTTTTACAATGTTTTGATTGGCTAAACGAATGAAATCAACAAATTATGACACGTGAAATGACAATTTTGAAATGTAAAATTTAAAAGTGACAAACACAACCTCCCTATCCACTCTTTGGGAGCCCTAGTAAATTAGTAATATGTACATGCAGCAGTGGTAGTGTGCAGCTTATTATCACACTACGCTTTGTATTCTAAAGCCTGTTGTTTGTAATAACACTGTTCACTCAACGTATGTTTTGTGTGTGGTCAGTCAACGATAATCATTGTTTTATCCCGGTTATATGACCTCGGCAATCATAACAAAACCGTACTAAACGAAAAAACGCAAATAAGAGAAAGCTTTCACACACATATAAAAAATGAACTAGTCTAATCCGCCAGTATAAACTCTGTGCTATACGTAGCCGGGTCAGGCGCACACTTTAAACCACTCTCTCCATTTTCTCTAGCTAAGTTAGATAGGTACATAGTGCAAAGTGGTTCATAAGCTTCAGGAAAGCCTATAGCCTCTATCAGGTTAGTAACCTGTACAGCAGAAAAATATTTATTCAGAATTTTCTGTGATGTACATTCTCTGTTTTATACTATGAGTTATTACATGGCTCTCTAAATCCTAGTGTATGCTATGTCTTAAAAAACTAATATCTCCATTGATTAGCTACTAGACAGTGGTAAACAGTGATCAGAACTAGGGCAGTTGTGGCAAACATGATGCTGCTATCCTAGCCAAAAAACTTGTCTCATCTTATTTTATTCTGAAGTTTTTTTCTAGAGAGTCAAATTGTCTGGTTATTATGTATAATTGATGTTTTTATTATTCTGTTTATGTGTTATATTCAGTATGAATTTCTGTCTTTAGCGATATTTAGTCATGCATGGAAAGGAAATATTGAAAAAAGTAAAGGGTTAAGTATGTGTACTAATGTAAGTACAATGTTATGGATTAGCCTGTAGAGTATGGCTAATGTTTTTAATTAGCTTATAAATGACATGCTTCGCTCATAAAGGTCTCCTCATTAGTGCTCTTATCATTTTTTCTTGGGCTAAAAGAGGGTCAGATTCACCATTGGAATCTTGTTTTTATGTACTTTAAGGTTATTCTTTCTAAACAACATTTTTGAAAAAAAATGTTTTACCTGCCCATTTTATTTTCTAGTACAAAATAAAGTTTGAAGGCATGTGTGTATTTCCTTGCTTTTTTCAGGAAAGTATCATTACATTGTCTTCTCAAAGTAAACCTAGTAAGTGGTCAATGGAAATCCAGTGTTATTGAGAAAAATTTGGAAAATTGAAAAGGCAGCCATTTTGAATGATTTTTCTTGATATATCAGCATTTCCTGGAGTTGCCATTGACCTGTTACCACGGGTTTACTAAAAGAAGACATTGCAAGGACTTTCCTGAAAAAAGCAAGGAAACACCCTCATGCCTTCATACTTTATTTTGTACCAGAAAATAACATGTGCAGGTAAAGGAATTTTTTCAAAAATGTTGTTTTGAAAGAATATAATAATCTTAAAGGCAGAATCTGATCTATAGGGGTGACAAAATTACAAGCAACTTGTATAATTGACCTACCAATCTATTCCTTACAGTATCAAATACAATATCTCTCAAAAGATTCACAATATGTTATAAATTGGTGAAGTTATTAATGATTCAAAGTGCAAAAATGAGTAAAAAATGTTTAAATTCTCCATTCTTATTGAAAAATAACACATAATTGTAAAAATCTTTAGTTTTCCTGGAATAAAATATGCACTTTTGTGATTTTTAGAAAATAGGCATGACAAGGAATGACATGAGCCAAAAATATTCTAAAACTGAAACAATTTATTGTTTAGCCTGCTCGCTATATCTGATTCTCTCTTTAACACAGGATGCACAAATAAAATGTAAGGGAACCCATAGAATATGTTTTTTGCAACAGAAGGAGTTTTTTAATGGAAACCCGTTTTTTTAGTCAAAGACTAGTGCAGAAGGTAACATGATGAGAATCAGGATTTAAGTGTCATTGACTCTCTGTGCTAGGTATACATTCCTCTAATACTATTATAGATGATTGATAGTTTTGTAGATGGTGACATCTTATTCATCTCAAATGGAGCTTATATGGCCTTTTATGGGCGTTTCAATGTCAATATGGAGTAAGATTCTGTAATTGTTCCCAAAAGGCAGAAAATACCATCCTGAATTTTACTCCATACAGTAAAACCTGTCTAATCGTAACACTACTGGGATCTGTCTGGATTATCAGCTGGTCACATTTTAAGGTTTCTTTTAAGGTTAACACGTATTCTAGTAGATTATGCAAGATCAAAATTCATGTTTTTTTCGAAGAGTAGAGATGCAGTCAGTGAAACTCTTACAAAGGGTTAAATTGATTAAATTAAATTTATTTTTTACATTTTGAAATGCAACTTGGTATTTTCTGCAAAAGCTGACAGCTGATTTACCTTTTCATCTTCAAAGCTTACTGGGAGTACTTTAGAAATGGATCAATATTCATAACATCTTTTCCAATAATAGGTTTAAAGATCATATAAAATAATATTTATCTATTTTTCGAGAGGGCAATGGTGTTATATTAGTGTGATCAATTGCCCAAAGTTATATGTTGCCATGGTAACAAATCAATGTACTTTATAGGTTATACTGTCCATCGCTTTCTTTATTGATTTCACTGGTTGGAAATCTAAGGCTTTTTACAGGGTAAAGTATATGCAATAAAATATTTTCACGCCTACGGTACATATCAGTGCTTATACAGTGAAACCTATAAAGTTGAACACCTCTAGAAGTTAAACACCTCCTGAGTGGAACACTTGTACATTGAAACCTGTAAAGTAGAACACCTCTTGAAGTTGAACACCTTTATTAGTACTGACTAATGTTGAAACAAATAGTAGAATTACATGTTAGAATTTAATCCTATTGAAATGAAAAAATGACAAAGTCATAACTTAAATAATACCAAATGATAAATTATAACCTTCCGGCTATACATCTCGAAAAGTCAGATGTGAAATATTTTATTTGTTTTTCTGTTATTCTAGTATTCGTAATAACAATGTTGTCCCGACAGCTGAGTTGTCTAATATTTTGAAATACTATATATCACAACTATTAAAAAAAATGATAATCAATAGTACATGTATAGAAAGAAAAAATTGAGGCAAAAACCAAGTCAGTAAAAATGGCAACTTTAAAAAGGTGCAAAACTTAAAGGCCCCATCTATAGTTTGAAAATATGTTGTTATTATTAACATTTACTGATTTTCATGACTAAAAATTTATTTTACAGATTTTTGAAAAAAAAACTTTTTAAAACAACATTTTCCTAGTTTCAGCTAGAAAAAAGCATCTCTTAGCTTCATTCGTGAAAGTAATACTTTGATTAGATATAAGCTTAACTATGAATATAACTTTATCGTATATTCTTATGAGAATTAACAACCTGTCTTTTTCGATAGTTGAGGACGGACATTCACATTCATAAAACTGTTTGTATATTATCACAGTTCTAGTGCATTATGGTAAATCATAAAAAAATTAAATAACGCTTAAGTTTTAAGACTTTTTTATCTCTTAAATTATGTATACTTTTCTCATGTAATGAATTTTAAAGTGTTGTTTATCACATGCTTCGGATCTGTGGATTATTGTAAATATACAACAAATATTATATTTTAGAATATTGATAAATTATATTTTTAACATTTTTTGCACCAGATATTGCTTTCAAATCAGTAAATATTCTTTTATCGACAGCCATCCCCGTTTTGAAAACCTAATGAAAAAGATGGAAATTATCATTTTCTATAAAAATTGGATCTGAATCTATCTCCCGATCTTGATATAGTTTGTTTTATATATTGATATAGTTTGTTTTATATTTAAGACTTTATTATTTTAAAGGGATATTTTACCTAAAGCGAAGCATTGATTAAATGACTTGCATTTCCTGTTTTTATATCAATAAAGTCTTTATTATGTGCAAACAAGTTCATTTTACAGATTGATAATCCTTACTATTATATGCAGAAAGAGATCATCAATTTTATTACAGTTTAGGGCCCTTCCATATGATTTCTCTATTTTTGCCATGTTTCTGTTAAATCTGAAAGAAATCTGATTTCCTGGCAGTTGTATCTATATTTAAGTGATAGCTACATATTCGTTGGCTTTATTCCTTGCTAATTCCACTCCTTTCTCTCTTAGCAATATCAGCTTCACCATTTCAGTAGGACTATCCGTTAATTTATAGCTGTTCTCTCTGTAGAGCTGTTTATTCAACTGTTTGTTATTTGCAGATGTAAATGTGTGTTTGTTCATCCTACATGCAGTTGTTTCAAATTTCTTTGTTTTATATTTGCAGCTGTGAGAGCAGACAGAATGAGGGGTGGGCGGAACAAATTTGGACCGATGTACAAACGTGATCGTGCTCTGAAACAGCAAGCCATGCGTCAACGTCAGCAGCTCCTTGCTCAATGTCAGATGTCCCTAGCCAATGGCATGTCCCCACCCCCAGGATTTGACCCCCAGAGGGATATAAAGCCTGACCCCCAACTGCTCATGGCGATGGCTCAAGGTGCAGTGCCACCTGGGTTCAACCCCAATATGTTTCCGCAATCGTCAATGGCGCACTTCATGCCAACGCAGGACAACCATATTACCTCAAACAACAACCACACAAACCATAGTCAGACATTCGGCGGTGGTATGATGCCACCCCGTTCTATAGGCGGCGGGGCTGGCCAAGGGGGAGATTCACACAGTAACTCACCTCTTAGTAACAACATATCTGGCGGGCCTCCCCCTGGTGGCCCCCATAATCAACAACTACCTCATGCTCCTCAGCAACAGTATCCAGGTAACATGTTGCCACGGTTACCAAGTCCCTCCCTCCCTCATCAGCAGCAACAGCTTCTGATGGACCTCCCAGGCACTGCGGCTCCTGTTGTTCCACAGCTTATCAAGGACTTGTTGGCTTCTGAGCCTAGCCAAGAAGACATAAAGGAAAAACATAGTTCGTTTATGAATGCTTTGATAAGTCAGAGAGGGGAGACCAATCCCATGCATACTATATGCAAGCTGATCGACCATAGCCTCTTTATGTTAGTGGAATGGGCAAGAAGTGCTACATTCTTTAAAGAACTGAAGGTATGTATAGAGTGTGGGATGGTCTAAATGTTAATCTGCCAAAATGTAATATACTCTACTATGAACAAGAAATCTGTAGTAGATGATTTCTGCAAGGAAATTCAACAAATCTTTGAAGATTTATTTTTTAATGAGAAAGTTAACTACTGAATTGCTAAATGATTAGGCGCACGGTATGGTAAAATGGGACAATTTTATGTTCATTTGTATGTGTATTGTATTGTGTATATTACATTTGTATTGTACATTCAAATATTTATCTTTTCATCTCGAGAGTTCATTTCAAATCATTACCTGTTTCCTTCCCTGTAATAGTCCTGTCATACCTTGTTAAGATTTTAAAAAGAGCAGCTAGGTATGATGGAGATCGATTTAACAATCAATCAATCAATCAAAAAATATGAATTGCTAAGATATTATTTTTTCTTAGAAAATGATGACTTGACATACATAACATTGTACCTTTGAAATATTTTATTGGAGGATAAATTGAATCAGCATTCGGAAATTATAATATTTTGAAGAAATTAATTTTTATAGAATAAGAAATGTGTTTGTGAACTTACTAATTTTTGCACTTTACAAACAAAATATATTAATTTTTTAAAAGAATTCATTGATAAAATATATGCTATAAGTATTGAATGGATGACATTTACACAATAGTAAATCTTGTTCTGATAAAATTGAAGAAGTCAGAGTGACCTACAAAAAGCAAGATGTATTATTTTCTATGATTCCTCTTGCAAAATATAAACATCCCAATAAAGTACAATTATATCATTTAAATATACTCAGATCTTCAATCTGTTTAAATGATCTGGTTTACAAACCTACCCCTAAAATGATTTATTATTTAATGTCATGCTCTTATGAAAATACATTAAATCAAATGTCATAAATAAAGTCATATTAACCTTATAAAACAATAATTTTTTCTGCACTAACTGTACTCTGATTTGAAAAATTACTTTGATGTCAAGCAATTGTGAAAGTAACAATTTTGAGGCTTTGTTCTGCCTGTGTATACAATAAATCATATTTTTATCACTACTTGTGAGATAAAATCTTGGAATATCATTTTCATATTGGAACAAATTTGACATGTTATTTCAAGAATTTTATCTTCGAAAGCATCTCTTAAGGTTTAGAAATTATGCGCAATAGAGAAAAGTTGACATTAACTTATAGCAAATTACCCTCTATCTCCCCCTCATTTCAAAGTAATGTAAATAAGATTGATAACTGCTATTGTTCCATGATTATTTAAATTATGTGGGTTGGATATTAACATTGAATATGTTATGCTATGCATATGCATTGTAAATAGTATATCATTCCATTGATTTTACACCTCCTACGAGGCATCAAAGGTGACTAGATTTAAAGGAGCTCTCTATTTATGCAATCTTTTCGATGATATTGATATCAACTCATTGACATTGATTAAAATGATGTCACTCAAACTCCTACAGCACTATAGATACTGTACCCTATACTTATGGTGTGTTGTCGTTACACAACTACCATGGCAACAAAAGTGTGAATTATGTCATAAATTGTAATTTGATCTCAATTATTATTGGGATACTGAGGAAATTCTAATTCATACAAACTCATATTTATTATGTTCAACAAATGTGCAATATCTAAATACCATACAGTTAATCCAGTAAATTTTAAAAAACAACTGTAAATTGAACACCTCCATAAGTAGAACACTTTGAAAAGTCCAGTTACAGATTTACTTTATGTGAAATGAACCTTTGTAAGTAGAACTCCTAAGTAGAACACTTTTTTGAAGTACCATTTCAGTGGTTTTGCTGAAAATGTAGAGGAATAAGTGAATGACATACAGTAAAACCTGTTTGATTGGAAAACATCAGGTACATCTAGAATGTGTTCCACTCTAGAGGTGTTCCACATACAGATGTCCATTTAACATTAAGTTAATTGGCCGTGGGAATCTGAAGTATTCTTCTTACAAGTGTTCCACTTACAGAGGCTTTCACTGTCCTGCTATAAGGCATAAGATCACACCGGAATAGCCTTACAACAGTAAAGTCAGATAGCATTGTCCCAAATGGCGGACATAACTGTCTTGTGACTTTACCGTTGTCAGGCTATTCCGTGGTGAAGATGATCCGTCTTTTATTAAATCAAGACAGCAACAACTATTGATGCTGTCACATTGATTTCAAATTGATGCTGTCACATTGATTTCAAATTGATGCTGTCACATTGATTTCAAATTGATGCTGTCACATTGATTTCAAATTGATGCTGTCACATTGATTTCAAATCGATGCTGTCTCAGTGATTTCAAATCGATGCTGTCTCATTGATTTCAAATTGATGCTGTCTCATTGATTTCAAATTGATGCTGTCTCATTGATTTCAAATTGATGCTGTCTCGGTGATTTCAAATTGATGCTGTCTCAGTGATTTCAAATTGATGCTGTCACATTGATTTCAAATTGATGCTGTCTCATTGATTTCAAATTGATGCTGTCTCAGTGATTTCAAATTGATGCTGTCTCAGTGATTTCAAATTGATGCTGTCTCATTGATTTCAAATTGATGCTGTCACATTGATTTCAAATTGATGCTGTCACATTGATTTCAAATTGATGCTGTCTGGTCTAATTTATGAAAAGAATAGGATGAAGTTATAGAATGCCTGACATTTTTACAAAATCTGCAACATTAACGCAGAAATATTGGTCAATACACTTTGAAATGTCACTAGGACATTACTTATTGTCCTCTTAAGGTTAAGCTCAAAAAGCTATTAATCTTCTCCTTGGTTGTATTGTGTCTATCAGGTTTGCATTTACAATAAACGTCACGTCTGTACATATATGTGTCTGAGTGATGTGTGTTTCCTGAGTTGTACTTGCTATAAAATACATAATGCTGTTTTGGGTCAAGACTAAGAATTGATCCCATATCAAAAAAAACTGAAGAAAAATTCCATGTACAGTTTACAGCTTGGACCATTAGTAAATGAGTCCTGGATTTCCCAGGAGTTCCCATGTTAAGATAAGAGAATTTTCAAACGGCCATACATCAGTGCATGAGAGGGATATATCTCAAGACCATATTGGAAACTATGGGCTTTCAAACCACCATGGTTTGGAAACTTTGAATACTTATTTATTTATGGTCCAAACTGTAATCACCTCAAACAGGCCTTATCATAATTTGAATATTTTCTAGCATATTTTTTAATTCAAGCGCCATCTATGTTTCAGGTTGAAGACCAAATGAAAATTCTTCAAAATTGCTGGAGTGAAGTGTTAATCCTAGACTTTGTTCATCGTCAACTTGGTAGTGGAAGCTTCGATGAAATAACACTGGTAAGTTTTTCACTACACCAGGGGTTTCATTAGCAGCAGGCAATAGGCAATTTTCACTGGTTGTTTTCACACATTGCTTGTTGTTTTTAGGGACTTTTCAACTTTTCCATGTTAAATATATGATTTCCATTAATCTTGCCTGTTGTTTTCATTTATTTAGCCTGTTGTGAGAAATTCTAAATTAGAAAATGTTTTAAACCCTATTTATGTTGATGTCTGTTTATGCACCATTCAAAGCCATTCACACTCAGGGAGGGAGAGTCAGGAATTTAACATGCAGTATTGTCCCAAAATATGGGATTTTGACATGGTTTGTTTGTCATAAGATAAGTGATTTTTTAAATGCATATTCCCAGAAATCAAAGTCTTAACTTTTGATCAGCTAGTATTGCTCCCAGGGTGGGGAAATTGACTCATTAAGTTGTTCTCAAGGTAGGGAATTTGAATTTTTGTCAAAATCCCCTCCCTTTACTGTGTGGGGGTTATCTCACGAGAGTACATTAATATATACGTTGTCGCCATATTTGAGGCTAATGATACCAAATCCTGAAATTCCTTTACATGATTCTATGTATACAATTCCCTTGCTCAATATATCTCCTCTGCTATTTTCTAGGCTAGTGGAACCAAGACATGAATAACTACCTTGTCGCCATATTCAAGGCGACTGATACCAAATCCTTGAATTCCTTTTGATTCTGTATGTATATAATCTCCAATCTCAATATTGACTCTGCTATTTTCTAGGCTAATGGAACCAAGATTGGTATCAGCTTGTTGCAGAAGTTTGGATTAGGAGACATCAAGGATAGACTGACGGATATGGTGAAGAAGCTTCAGGAATTAAAATTAGATTATAACGAGTATGTCTGCCTCAAGTTCCTCATTCTACTTAACCCAGGTAACATTTTAATTACTTGTATTTTTATTTATTCACTTGTATTTTTATTTATTTACCTGTGTTTTAATTTGCACAAAAATTATTCACAACCTGTTATGAAAACATTTTGGACTGTTCGTCAGCTATAACTCGCCATCTCTTTTGTTTTCCTATAAGCTTATAGCACATTTTTTATTGATTTTTGATTTGAAAACTAAGAACAAATTATGTGAAGTTGCTACAAAAATTGATATTGCCTAAATAACTTTACCTTCACAAAGACGTGTCTCGCGTCAGTGTTCTCCCCAGAATTTTTTTCTCAAGTGAGAGCAAAATTTTAATTTTTGCAATTTATATCTTGCCCAATTAAAAAAAAATTCTCATTTTCAACTGGGTCCAAATGGATTTTTAGGTGTCTGCAGGCCTATTTTTAAAATCTCAAGTGAGTGCAGCACCCACTTGTTTTAATCCTAAGAAGATCACTGCATTGACTACCTAGAATATCAATATTATATTGCTTAAGTATAACTTTTTTTGTTTTCCAGATATCATGGGACTACAGGATCGTGGTTACATTGAGCAGTGTCAAGAGAAAATCAACACAGCATTGCTCAATTATTGCTCATGTTTCTATCCCCACATTAAGGATAAATTCGGCCAAATGTTACTCCGTCTACCTGAAATTCGATTGGTCAGTATCCGAGGAGAGGAAGTTTTGTATTATAAGCACATGAACGGTGAACTTCCCGAGCAGACGTTACTTATGGAAATGCTACACGCAAAACGTAAATAATATATTATAGAGATATCCCCAGCTCGAGCTTGTATTATAATTATATCGGGGAATTTCTTACTAAGTGCCATGAAAATCAGGAAGAACTTACAGTCACATTAAGGCAGATGTATATGAACAAAAGTGTCGATAAGGCTCATCTTAAATCAGGAATCCACAATGAGAAAGAAACCATGCTATGTAATTGAGCAGAAATGAGAATGCTATGCTTAGTGTTTGCGTGTTTAACCAGTGCTTCGCATTGCATTTGTGACGGTTTTGACTGAATAGAATTTAGTGCTCTGTCATTAATTGTGTACGTGTATATATTATGTATCATTATCATTCATTAAAAACTTCATGAAAATCAAATATGAATTGGAGCATTTGTTATGAAATATTATATAAGTAAACAAATAGGAAAAAATGATTTGCAATATTTTGAGTGAATATACATGTGAAGTAGCGTATACTCTAGCTTGTAAAGCGTATACTGTAGCTTGTAGAGTAATGCAAGATTTTTGGCTTTATTTTCTGAAAAAGAAAATGTTTTCACTTTCTATGTCACCACCATGAAGTGTTAAAGCGTCCATTTTGTGACTGGTGGTTGGTATTGGCATATGTGACGGTTGTTACACTTTTGTTTGTTTTGTCATGAATCCATTGTTTATCTCAAAATTTCATCAAAATGTCAATGACATGTTCTTGCACCTTGCATTTCTGTACAATTTATACTCTATACACCCCCTCTATAACTTTGGCAATTGGATCCTGAATTGAATATATGTTTCAAAAAAATTCTTCAAATTCATAAACATCTGAACTATTGTATTAAAGAAACAAAATAAAGATTTAAACATTACATTTAGCACACCATCAACTGACAACTTCAAATTGCCAAACTTATTGCAGGGAGTGTACTGCATTTATATTCACACAATTCAATACTTGAATAGTCTTAATATCTCCTTTCTGATATAGATAAGGTTAACATTATAAACAATCATGTCATCAAATACCTCATTCAGAAGGTAGATTTCATTGTTTGAATTGTACATAAATAATGCTATTAATAAGTCATAAAACTTAATTAAAATGTTTATATTGAATATATATAATATATATATAATGCTAGGGACCTCAAATGGGTATTTAGGGAAAGCTTTTTTGCTTTTAGATTTTTGAGCTGTGTATGCTTCTTTTTTGTCCTGTTAAGTTTGTGTGAAACGTGTTTGTTATGTTTGAATTTTGTGTATTTTTGAAAGGACCCCTTGATACACAAAATATTAACTGATTTTATGTTATCTTATTTATCTCCAGCACATGTTACTTATATTTTTTTTATTTCACGTTTGAAAAAATGTCATTTTGCTAATTTGCCAATTTTTTCCAGTGATTTTTTAAGGAAAGTGTGATCAACAGTGAAATATGTTGCATTTTATAATATAATCAGTATTCATAAAAGCTGAAGATGAAATTGTTACTTAAAATTGTCAAATAATATTTGCCCAAATGTAACGTGCTGTCAAACCCAAATCTCCACTTTTCAATGTTATTTCTGTTACATCATGGGAGAGTTTAATGATTTAGTTAAATTACATCAGTTAAAGGGATATTTCTTTCCAGACAATTTCTGCCAATGACATCACTTCCTGTCTAAAATCTTAAAAGATGGCAGCCTACGTGAAACGAACTCTACATTTTTAAATGATCAATATTGACAATATCAAAACATTTTTGCATGTTTTGCTGACATGGAAAGTATAAATATGGTTACAGCTACCGTATTAGGAGAGAACTGATCTTGCAAGGAATATTCCTTTAATTTAATTAAACTGAAAGCATTTAGTACTTAAGCTATGACTTGATAACCCCTTTTATAATATGTATGTTCTCATACCAGATGGGGTTTTCATATACATATAAATGTCTTTTTCTAGTATGCAATATTGTATGGTTAAATGTATGGTATGTGATGTATTACTTTCTGCTTTTCAGGGAGCACTTCAAAAATGTAATGTTCAGTTGGTAACCAAACTACTATAGAAATTTATTTATAAAGATCCCCCCACACACACCCTCTCTCTTATTATCTAATACTGATTTTATGGTATTTTGTTAAATTGTTAGAATTCAGAGTGAAATAATCATTGATTTCGTGAGTTGAGCTTACTAAAGACATCTAGACCCCATCTAGGCTAATTTAGTTTAGTTAACAATCCAACAATGACATTTTGAAGTGCTGCCCGATGCTTGTAACAAGCTTTATACCTAATATAGAATGCCAAACTGGTTAGTTTTCGTTTTTAACATTTTCGTATGAATTTTTTAAATAAATGCTCGACTTACCTAAAGAGTCAATACATACTTTTTGAAAGATTAATGAAGGAGATTGATTGGTCAGTGGAGGGTTGCTATGGTAACTGAGTAATTGTTGTCAGATATTATTAATCCAGTATTGCATTTTAATCCATTTGAAATACATATTAAGTTTGGTTAATTATTTAGAGAAAAAAAATCAGAGAATGATTTGCCTTTATTTATACCTTATTCTTCTAGTTTGATAAATCTTTAGAAAACTCGACCAGTTTAGCATTTTATTTTAAGGTTTAATTCATATGCTATCAAACATTTCAAAATATATATACACTAATATAATGTAAATTAAAACTGAGATAAAACAGTATATTAATACTTACAATGATAAATACAAAATACATGTGATGCTGTATTTCCTATTCCAATTTCCTGTAAAGAGTATCTATCAATCAACAAAAGATCTTATGAAATAGAATATTTGTATGTGAAACTATATCTGACTAAATGTAAGGTTTTTTTAGGCAGTGTTAATTGCATCTTCCCAATTTCCATTGATACTATTGAATGAGCATCAAAAAGAGGTGACATTTAAAGAAACACATTAATATAGATTAGGTAAGGGTTATGTACTGGGAGGTATTGGATATAACGTTTATCCTGAGGGATATTTCTACATCTCCTCAAAGCAACAGGAAGTGAGATCACATATATAGTCGTGTGTGTTATCTACCCCAAACCCACCCAAATGGATCATTTTTCTGAACCAAGTTGTTACATACCTCATTAATATTTTTGTGTCATATCCTAGCCCTCCCCCTCCCCAATATTTTCTTAGCACATATCTCAATGTAGTGAGATGGAGAGGGGGATCAATAATAAGTATTGATACAAGATATTACATCATTTTATGATTTCTAAAATCTATACAGTCTCTCATAAATCTATTTGGAGCAAATGTTTCTTTGATATCTGAAGTTTAGCATTCAAAGGTATGGGAAACAGGTTTTTCAATGAGCCCTGAATTCATTACCTCTGTATTATCATATTTTATGCTTAACACTCATTCCTGCCAGAATAGACCTTCTGCCAGAATAGACATTCTGCCAGAATAGACCTTCTGCCAAAATATACCTTCTGCCAGAATAGACCTTCCTTCTGCCAGAATAGACCTTCTGCCAGAATAGACTTTCTGCCAGGATAGACCTTCTGCCAGAATAGATCTTTCAAAATTGGTAAATTAAAATAAGCTCTGATTGGCAAGATTGGTGACGCCTTGGGTTGTATTTTTCAAAATTATTTAGGAATAGGTTAATGCCCATTAATAGGTTAATTTTATTTTTGATTGGACAAATTAAAACCTACAACCCATTTAATGACATCATCAATCTCGTGAATATATCACAGCTTCTTTGATTTGCCAAAAGGTGGCGGGTTTATCGGAAAGGTCTATTTGTGTATGAAAACAAAATATTGTCTTTATCTTTATAAAATGGTATAGTTTCACTGCAATCTTCACTAGATGGCACTATTTGTCAGTTATGCTACCATCAGATGTCTGTTGACTGATCTCTCGTTGTAATATATATATCACTATGACTTCTGGGTAACATAGCTGGCAAAATATTGACAGAAAATTTACGACCAATTTTCGTGTCTCTTTTGTTGATATAAATATCGGAAATGTGTAGCTTCATGTTGAAAAACAAGGAATGAGGAATGTGATTGGAATGTCAAGAAATAAAGCATTTTAATGGTGGTACACTTATGTACTGTATATTGGGTGACACTTCATACATATAGTGTGATGGTTTTGCTACCACATGTTTTTCATTGTACGAGGGGGTATCATTAATTAGTGAAAATAGTACCATAACTTTATAAGATTCGCTTTAATTGCATTGATATTTTTACCAAATAAAATCTAGATGGTATGCTGCATTCGTACACTCAGCTCAAGGAGGTATTTTTTACAATTTTAAAACGAAAAGTCAAAAATCAAAATCATATTCAACAATATTGTATATATTCAATAGGTTGATATTTTGGTATAACATAATTGTAAGAATTTAAATGTAAATTCCAATGATTTGGGGATTTTTTCGATGCTTTTCAATTATTGAATGCCTCAGTGAAATGACCATAGGATATCTCAGGACTGTAAAATAGGATATAGCCATTGACATACCATAATGTATTAAAGCCTTGTACAGAGCAGCGTGTTATTTACTGAATATTGTGGCCATATTGAATTTTAGTATGTAAAAGCATTTATAGGTGAACTGAATAGAGTAAAAGGTAGTCAGTTCCATGCATCCAGCTAGGATTTCAAATGCTGATATTGAAATCATTATATAAATGTCTTTGTTTTCCCCTGATTTTTTGGTTGGGGCCCAGTAACTTGTTTTTTAAATTTTGGGAATCTGAGCTTTCATTGTCTTACTCCATGGAGGTGTGACAATTTAGTAGGAGACAATTAAACTTCAGAAACTGAAGACAAACATGCCAAAGCAGAGTTTATTTTTCAGTCATTCCCCATTCAAAAAGAAAAAGAGGAAAGTTATTTGAGTAATACAATGATTTTAACATTGGTTTATTGTATCCATGAAAACTGTAGATAAGTACTTGAAAATAAATATATTTAACAGGCTCAATGACTATATATTTAAAGGGATTGTTCATAATTTACTTTTCAAAGACTTTAATTCAAGTGAGTACCGTTAGAATTAATGATAAAATTATGAAAATTATACGTTATTGAACTGAATGAATGAATTAATGCTTTGTAACCATGGCAGTATCTACCTCTTTAAAAACTTTGAAACCAGCATGGAACAGGAACTGAATTAAGAAAGGTGTATGTATTATCCAGATTCACGTTCCTTTTCCTTTAAGGATTAAAAACAAGTTGTGTACTTTGTGATATTGTTCCATGTTGCAATCAAGGTAATTGTACATGCTGTGAAACAAATGCCATTGTACTATGTTCCTGAAGAGGCTATTGTTTTATGTATTATAACTGACTGCATTGTACTCCACAACAATTGATGGTATTGCACTATGTACAATAAGGGAATTGTAGTATGTGACAATTGATGGTATTGTACTATGTTTCAATATTAAGTAATTTAAAGTATGCTGCAATTGATGGTATTGTACTATGTTTCAGTTAAGGGAATTGCTATATGCTACAATTGGTGGTATTGTACTATGTTTCAATTAAGGGAATTGCTATACAGCTATATGCTACAATAAGTGGTATTGTACTATTTTTCAATTAAGTGATATAGATAATGCTACAAATTGATGCTATTGTATTATGTTTCAATTGAGAGAATATTGTAGTATACTAAAGAGCATAAGTACCTGTAAAGCAATTATTAAGGAACTAATTAGATTTGAGTCTAGTATGGAACCAGGTGTACATAATGATAAAGTGTCATCGTGATGTCTCTGAACATTATTTGTTTGGTTGTGTGGGCAAGACATTATACATTGTTTATTTTATCATGTCAC